CAGCAGTATCCCCCAACACCATACAGGGAATGGTTCAATAATGAATCAAAGAAGAATCCACTCATCTGTACACACACAAGCTCTATATTTAAACTAAGACACACACTGAAATATATACTTCATCCTCTCATAGAAGCCTGTCTCATCCTTACATACCATATCTTTTCTCACACACTGTGAAACAGTTTCAAACATGCATGTACTCATTCAAACCCCACGTAAAGCCCAGACATTCAGAGCCTCCAATTCAGACACAGATGATACACCTAGTTAACCACACTCCAACTGACCTGTGCGCACACACCACACACAAAAATCATTCAAGCTTAGTTACACCACACAGTAGACACAGACTGCATATGTCTATATGGGAGCATTCATGCATGTGCCACATTTTCTCCATTTCTCTTTCTGTCTAATATTTTTACTCTCCTTGTAATAAAAGGGCTATACATAGGAGTCATGATAAGAGATTGAAAGGTTTTTCCTAGATCTAATCACTTAGCATGAGGTAGGGTTACAAAAAACTCCTGCCACTATGACATGACAGACAGCAGTATCCGACTTCAGTGACCAATGACTTCTCTTTAAAAAAAAAAAAAGCAAATAAAATATAATACCAAATAAAAACAACAGCCACAAATTAATAGAACTAATTACAAAGACATGCACATGCTGACTTCTAAGATGGAGGTCAACATAGATCCCCTGACAGATGAGAGGATTAGTCTGTCTCTAATTGCACATCTGTCAGCAACTACCATTCTCTGAACCTCAATGGCTGTCTAACCACATGGCCATATACCACTAGTTTCTTCTGCAGTGGAGTTTTCGGCAGTTAATGTGGATCTGACAACTGCAGTCCATGTTTGTTGTCGGTGACTGGGTGAACATGTTTTACCTTGGTCTGCAGAGGAACAGTGTCATTAGCACTCAGGATGTTCTCAATAAACAGAGTCACAATCTTCCTTGGTTTTGTTTAAATGTATTGTATTCCTCTGGTAGGGCCAATCTCTAAGGGTGGCTAGGACATATAACCTCGAAGTGGCAAAGCTATTAATTTGGCAAGTTGTCACACACTTTCTATTTGGGATCTAATACTTATCCCAATTGTGAGTGGGAGGAAATGTTTGACTTCTTGTTGTATATTTCTCCTGTGCTACCTTTTTGGCATACAGCTCTTTTCTAACTATGTTCGGAATAACTGACTTTGGTTTGTTTGATATTGGCTTTGTCCTTCTGCATGTGAGTTTCTGAACTCATGATCATAATGAAGTATTGTGAGATGTGTTGAGACAACGCTATACATGTATACCTTTGATGGGACAAGGATGGTTTTGATTTTCTAAAATCAAGGCCGTGCTCTTAGTACTGGTTCTGCATATTAACACCTGCACATGGTATGCTTGATCTGATACCTCATAGAGAACTGGTGAAACGAGTCACTTTTCATTGCGGGCCAATGTGTGTTATTAACTCAGGAAACTGTGATTTATGATAGGTTATTACATTGCTACTTGATGTGTAGTGCGACAGCTCAATTAAAAAAAAAAGTGAGTAGTAGGCCCTAGCAAAAGATTATCTTTCCTGTTTAATTCAAATAGACCTTGGTAAAGTCTTGGCTAGGGCTATCACATTGTTTCAATGGGTCTTTTGCATCTTGTTTCCTGTATTCATTGCAAGTTTCACATTTGGATCTCTTCTTATCTTCCATGGCTGCAGAAGTAACTGGGCTTTTTCCACTGACCACCCATCTTGAATACCTCTCTCAAGCTGTTGTAATGATGGGTTCATATTGTTATTCTTGTTTCAGCTTGCCAAGTTTTGTTCGAGAAATGGGTGGCCATAATTACTGCAGACTCCCCTTAATATATCACCTTATTTTCCCTTGTTTAGGGTATTTTAGAAAGCACGTCAAATGTAAGAAGCTCCTTGTTAAGTTTGCACATTTAATATGTATTTTTGCAATTCATTAAGCATTTCATGTAGTCTCGGGTTGAGGAACACGGGCCCTTTGGTCGCTGCTGTTTGTTTACCCATGGATTTTGTCTTTACGCCATGGTATGCATTTTTGATTAGATGCGCTTCAGTTCTCACACACTTTAACAACACTTTCCGTTGGGAAACACAGATTTTCATTAGCCCTGTAAATATCCACTGTTCTTTGCAAGCTCAGTCCATTTTCTTTCAAGAAATTTCTTCTGGTTTTGATTTGGTTATCAGTTATGCCAGAAATAACTAGGTTTCTAATTAATTCATCAGTTAACTGTTCAAATTCAAGCAACTTAGCTTTACTATGTAGGCACATAACATAATGCTTGAGCGTCACACCTGGCAGTTGATTTCTTGTCAAGAAAATGTACCTTTTCCAAGTGACGTTCATATGTGCACAGTATTCTTGAAATTTCTGAATGACTTTGTCTAGCATTTGCAGTTCTTTCATACTCCCACTGGAATGCATTATAGATCTCTAATGCCTCTGGGCCCACCACATACATCAAGCATGGAGGATTTCAGCCTCTCCGATTCCTCTGCAATATCACTTGCTTTCAGGGAAATTTGGAAGAACTATGATCAACTCCCCTAGCTCTCTGTCAGGTTCCCTTACAGAAGGAGGGATTCAGGTAGACGCATTTGCTACTTTATTGCAAAGATTTTGTTTTCTTCTCAAAACATGCAATACAGGGGCAACACACTGGAGTGCTGGCTAGAGGATGAACTTTATTTATGGATCTCAGTCACTTGATATAGATCAGATTTAAAAAAAATTAGTTCCCCATCACATGACAGGGGTCAGTATTCACTGATTCCAATGGCTACAGCTATACCTGTCACACATTTCTGGTTTTTTTTTGTTTTAAATTTAAAAGAAAATGAAAGAATTCTGTGCAAGAAATTAAACGCACAAAACCCAATGCATTTAGAGTTGAGGCTGAATGCTCATTTTTAACATTTGCATATAATGCACTCTTTAGTTACACAATTGCATGATATTTATCTAATAATACAATGTAAAATATATTTATAATAATGATAGGGACCAATCATGCAAATAATCCCATTGATTTTAATACCATATAGGACTACTTGCATGAGTAAAGCTACTTCATAATTTAAGACCGTAGGACAGGGTCCTTAGATGCACATTTTGCATACATTTACTCCATGTGATGAAATTAAAACTAAGCTAAACAGGCACCCAACATAAAAAAGGAAATGCTTAAATAAAGTAAATATCTGCAAAATATAATTGATAATATGCTCTATTCAAGTACTGCTATAAGTAGTTGTTTCAGAATAAACACAGTAACAAAGAAAATCCTTGGAAATTCATGCTTAGATAAACTGTAGACCACGTCTGCTGTTTACCTATATGCAAAGTAACCAGATGCTACTGCTGCTGTCAAGGGCAGAAGCAATGTACATGTGTGAAATCACACCACTAGTTAGCCACTCAGGGAACTCAGCCATGTTGTGCACTAGTCCAGTTTCCTGGCACTCAGTGAAGTCCTGAAATACAGTTTCTTACATTCCTATTCATCCTCATCCCCTAAAGAGGACGAAGGGACAGGCTGTCTTGCAAGAGCTTCTGCAACATTACCAGGGCCACGGGATGGAAAAGGAAAAGACAGGTGGCCTCACACCAGGCTACCAGATTAGAGAGCCATGAGGAAGCAGCTTTAGAAAGGTAGCAGCCTTGCTGTTTTGTTTTTACGTGGCTTTCTCTTCTAGGACACATTACCTCTGGAATCTCACTCTTAGCCACAGGAGTGAATAAGAATGACCATCACTGAGTTAGGGAGAGGTTATTCTACAGCTCTATCCTCTCCCCACCTCCTTCCAATGAGTAAATTCATATCAATTTGAATTTAACTTTATAAAGAAACCTAAGTGGATCATATTGCATTGTATTATTCAAAAAATATTGTATATTATATATTTTGCATGATTAAAAACTGCATCATATCATAATGCATGTGTGCAAGAGGACAGATATTAGAATGAGTGTTCAACTTTAATTCTGTGGTTCCTGAATGTATGTGATTAGGTGTGCAACCCTCACACTTCAGTGGCATACCTTTTACGGAATACCCAGTTCACTTTGTTTTAAAAATGAATAAAATGGAAGCATACATCCACTGTGCGACATATGAAGTGAAAATTCCTACAATTTGCACACAAGTTAACACACTTCAGTTTTCCGTACATAGCAAGAGCACAGTGAAAGAAATATTTATTCACTGTCTTCTCCATTCTCTGAATCAAAACCAAAAAATGTTCTGCCCTTAGCAATACTGTGGCACAAGAATGAAGTCATTTTGAATGGCTATAAAAAGGGTAAGGGATAATGTGTGCATAAATAGACATAAGCTAAAAACACACACAGTCCATTTTTTAGAGTTGAATGTGGGGTTCTTCTTTAGTTCAAACCAATTTTTCCCCCACTGTTCCCCTCCAATGAATTAATACTCTGTAGACATGGAAACGTGCCAGTCTTTAAAACCAGGGATTACAAGAACAAAATATTTTCTGTGCTTGATTATTCTAAACTGCAATTCTACTTAAATTAGTATTGCTCTAAAAATGTTGATTCTTTGACAGTTTAAATCTCCAGTAATCTCTGTTAATTTTTAGAGAAAAAAAATCTTAAACAGGTTATAAGAAGCTGGGAAACATTGTTTCTTTTCTTTATTCTTCTGTCATGTTCAGGTTAAATTAAATAGGAAAGCAGCTTTTCCCAACATCACTTTTCAATCAAATATAACATTTTACATCTTTTTCTGTGGCAATTGTTTTTTCCCAATTATTTAATATTTCATCTCCAATATTAAAAGCTCCTAACAGTCTCTGAATTATATCATTCAAAGATATGTAAGGATATTAGTTTGTTTTTCTTTTTAGCTGTTGACTACAACATTTTTGAAGCTTTTATTCTCTCCACTTAAAGCAGGTTTCTCTCTACGTCTCAGCTGCAAAAAAAAGGTTATTTAGACTCTAACCTGAAATGCTACAACCTCTGGCCCGCCCTTCAGCCCTTCCATTGCAAAGGTCTCCAGGTGCAGTTTGGGTAGCTGCAGGGTGAAGTCATTCCTGGTTGCCGCAGTCCGTGACAGCGAGATCTGATCTCTGACCTAAAGGGAAAAAAACCCAGCATCAATGGTAATTCCCCTTCAGACACATTAACTGGGATGAACTGGGTCCCCTTGAGCCCACTGAGTGGACTTGCATTGATCGCTGGACCTGAAATCCATGAATAAATTTAGGACTAATTGATTTTTCGTTGCAAATAAATCTCTAATTCAGAGTGCTGGGAGAGAATGCTAAGAAGAAAAAGCATCCTCCTCTGGACTGAAATGAGAAGGGAAGAAGAGTCACTGAGGGCTTCACTCCAACTGGTGGACAAATTTTACAGATCCATCCCTCCTAAAACACCTAACACAAAAGAAAACAAATTGTAGGCAGTAATTACACTTTCCATCCAACAATCATCAAATATTAATAAAGTACTGTGCAACAACACATAAGAAAGAGATGATAAATGAGTTTTGACTGCTGTGTAGAGATCATATTCACATCGTAGAGGGGTTCAATAGTACAAATTTAATTAAGCCCCAGAACAACATTTAAAATCCTTCCTAAAACAAAAATAAAAATCTACCTGTAGCAGGATTTTTTTCTTCTGTTAATTGCACAGCCTGTTAGATTTCTTACGGCAGATTCACATAAAGGAACTAATACATATTAGTATTAGCTAACTTAGCTGTACACCTTCTAAACAAGGAAAAGGAAGCCAGTAGCATTTGTACAAAGCCTAGATAGTTTGATTTTTTTAAGGATTGCGAAAGGTAAAAATTAAACAAAATAACCAACCATCCCCCCAAAAAATATACATGTGAAAGAGTCCTACTTATGTTGACAAATGTAACCATATGCAGTTGGTATCACACTGCCATCTGCTGGCTAAGCAAAAAACTGCTTTTAATACATTATACAAATTTATATGCCATGAAAATGATAAAAATACATCTCAGCTATATAAATATGATGAATATTTTCCCCTTTAAATATCCAAACATGTTACTGTGTCACATTAATATGAAATACTTTCATTATTAACTAAAAACAGCTTTTCCCCACATACTAAAAGTATAATTATATTTTGTAAGTGTCTATTTGTGTGTAATATATACTGTACTTGATATATTACACATAGAACACATGTAAAAACTGTACACACCCAATTTTTCCATTTTTATTTGATACAAAAGGTAATTATCAATTTGCCCTTTTCCTAATCTTGCACTATTTTTGGATCTTGCAAAATAAAATTCCAGTAGTTAAATTTAATTGAATTATATTATATACTAATATGATATACATTCTATCTGTTACATAAGGTTAGCTACCATGGCAAAGATCATTATTGACTTTTATTGTCAATGAATAGTTTTAGAAGGGAATAATAAAATGACAGAACATACCATTTTACCAACACTATTTACAAATATAAATTTGGGCCACTTCTCTTACTTAGAGCCAAACCTTTCTAAAATATCCAATCAATCCTAAATGAAAATATATTCCAACTGATTTAAAATTCTAGATGGCATTTGTCTCCTTTTAACTGCTTCTACTTTTTAAAATGCTATTGGTTATACTGCAGAACGTACTCCATGTAGCGTCACAACAATTGAAATCTACTGTGATTAAACAAGTGTGTTTGTGTAATTTTATAGATACACGGGACTACAAATACGTTATTTTTTCATTCTCTGCTATCATCTATAGGAATAGGGGGCTCTACATTTCCCAGGCTGACCTAAAGAATTCCTGTCAATACCTGTGGCTGCCAAACATATGCACTATAATGCAATTTTAATAACAGTATAGGCCATACGTTTTTTCACACATAGTGTACTAGGTTCAGGTTATACAGTCCTGTGGAACAAATATATTCTCCAGGGTCTTCTGTCAGAATGTGTAATGCTGTTCAGACATTAACCGTGCTTAATATAACACAAACACCTTATTTTAAACATATATATAAACTATAAAAATTTAAATCAAATATATCAACTTTTCAGGCTCTTTTAGTTGCCGATATGCACACAGATAAAAGAAAACATTAATGTGGATTAAGGTACTAAGAATTTATCAACATCAAACCACCAGTGTTTTGCCTTCTACCCTTCTGAACCATAGTCAATAGATCTAAATATTTTACTGCACCCTGGCCAATTCATTGTTTGATGTTTAAAAACTCACCCAGAATCAAAGAAAATTTATTAAATTTGAGCCCCCAAATGAGATACTATTAGCTTTGAAAGTCAAGTTTAACTGCGATATTGATGATTCTCTTTTTTCTGTGACAAAATTCACTAGGGAAATCCCTGATGTCAAAGTACAAAAGCAGATTGCTAATACTGGGGGAAGAGGGCGGGGGGAAACAATGTATAAGCAATGTAGGTATAACGCACAGCATAGTACACATAGCGGAGATCCTTTTAACCCTATTAGTGTCAGGCGCTATGTTTCACTACTGGGGCCTGACACTCACTGGACAATAAAACAAGTCATTTTTTTTAAATGTAGTAAATATAAATCATTAACACCACAACATCAGAAAGGAACGCATTAGTTCCTTAAATGTATGACTCCTGATACCAAGATTCCCAATTGAAATATTTCATAATTTTTTAAATCTTTTAGATATAAAAGGATGTATCTTATTTTCAAACCACTTGGACACTTTGCTTAGATAAGATATTTAGAGCTTTCCTTTTGAGAAGTCAAGAGTCGTATATATTGTATTTGTCAAGGTTTAATTGAAATGCAGAAAACTGAAGTCTTTTATTTATTTACAGGCCACATACTGTGCAAACATCCTTATGCTGCTTCACCATAAAGTCAGCACAGTCTTTCAATTGACCACCCAGTCAACGTGTGACAAGTCATTATGGCCCCAATTCTGTAGAAGGATCCACACAGCTAAAATGTTATGCATTTACGTCGAATCCCACTGACTTCCCTTTCAAGATTTTAAATTGAAAGTAAAAACTGTTTTCTAAACCTTGAAGACTTTTTTTGAGTGCTAGAATGATAGATCTGTACTCAGGAGGAGGAGGTGTTTTTTATTGCCATGAGGAAGTTAATAGAATGTTTGCAAAGTGAAACTTTAAGTTAAGAAAAACAAAAGTTGTGGAATAAAGTATTGTGCTGATACAAAATTGTACAAAACAATGGAGATATTTTTACTCACAGATTGCAGCAGAGAAAAAGCAAATAGTATATAATTTATTTTTGTATAGACTCTTTCATAGCAAAAGTATCACAAAATATATCACAGTTGACTTGGATCTGTAAGTGAAAACACAAGTACGGAGGTTTTGCCTGAGAAAGAACTGTAGGACTGAGTCCTTTAAAAAAAAAAAAAAAAAAGTCCACACAAATAGATTTATTACAATGACTAACAGTGTGCAAAACTGCTTTCACCATCCTATACAAGGAAAGGGATTTAGAGGGGGAGACCTCAAAAGCAAAAATACTCATATGCACCTATGCTAGATTGCGGCAGGAACTTTGGATAGGTTTCCGGTTTCGAAAAAACAGCGTCATAAATGTTTTAAATAGATCCTGCAAAGACTTACAGACATGCTTAACTTTCTGTACTGTGAAGATTCCCATTGGTAGAGTGGGTAAGTTAAGTACATGTGTAGTTTTGGAGGATCCGGGATTTTTTTTTTTTTTTTTTAATGGTGCCGGAAAATGGGCTAAAACTTAATGGATCCGTAAAGCTCCATGAAAACAACAGATTTTGAAAACATTTTGAATCAGTGGAACGTAAGGATTTATGACAGTCTGATTAACTTTTTAACGAATTGGATACTATACCCACTCAATTTTAAATCAATAAAGCACTGATGAATTAAGATCAAAGGTAATACCAAGAACATAACTTGACATTAAAAGTTAGGTTAGGTGTGTAGATGAAACAGAGTTCAATGCACTAATCTTTCATGTCTAGAAACAGAGGTTAAAATATTGTGCTGGTCACAAGTGGAAATAGTTTTGGCTGCATCCTAGTTCCCATTTATCTACATCACACATTTGTCTCCCCACCACACAATCTGATATAACTAGCAATACCTGCTCAAGACAGACACAGGACTACGTTCAAGGGTGTTTAAAGTCAAGGTTAAGGTGCACTTGTCTATCTGTGGGCTTTAGTGCCACTCAGTAAATATGGTAAATTAGAGATTTTAGTCCCTTACTTTTGGCCTGATTCGTCAACAATGTCTTACAAGAGTAAGTGCTACTCTGCATAAGGCCTGCAGAACTGGTCCTTTCATAAGTACTAAATTCACCTTCAATGTTTAAAAATAATGCCAGTGGGCTGTAAAACTTTTTGTTCTCTGTTTTGTTTTCAATTAATTGTATAGATCATAATATGGTCTAGTGTAAAGATGTATTTAGCATAATACGGTCTGTGCAACTGAGAGATGCTCACGTTACTCAGTAGTTAGGAAGCAATGAGAGAGTTGTGCAGGTCATTCCAAATGAGTGCCAAGAAAGAAGTTATACCACAACATCATGTCTTCTGTACATGACATATAATTAACAAATATTTCTTTACACTTTTTAAAATAGCAAGTGGCATTTAAAATTTAAAAAACCCCATCTCAACCTTAACCACAGCATTCACAACCATGCAATCAATTTAGCTGCATGAGAGAATGTCCATATTTCCCAAAGTCCGCACTGAATGACATGCACATTGTGTGGGACAAGCCCACTTCATTTACTGTGGATACTGTATTATTGTATGGAACCATTGCCTTACTAATCACATCTTGCTTATAAATGACTGGAATGTGTATTTAGCATACACACAGCACTCAAAGATTCTATGCATGCACTTACGGTTCTAAAATATACATATATATTATTTGAGGAATAGCAAGTGATCATGCAATTAAAGAGGATATTGTAATGTACATGGATTGGTGAACAGAGTTAAGATTATATGAACGTTATCTTTGGCATTCACAATAATTTGGGGAAACAATATACAGTAACTCCTTGCTTAATGTTGTAGTTATGATCCTGAAAAATGTAACTTTAAGCGAAATGA